ATGCAGAAGAAGTTATTTTTCATTTATGTATGTTGCTTCCTGACTAATGGGAAAAATCCCGATACGTTTATTGAAACATTCACACCTCACTCCGCAATATAAACTTTTATTTGGTTAATGTGTTAAGTTTATATCTGTGTCCATAACTATTATGGAGGACAGAAACTTTTCCGTCCGTCACAAGTTTACTGTCCGATTTTGAATGAAAAAATAAAAATTAACAGATGTATTTATACATTCCTCGCACGACGTGGAGGTCGTTAACCTTCTTGCAATAAACTCTATCGAGTGCGGCCGACTGCCGATACGAAATGCTAGTTTCCCAACGACCGGAGAATTTAAATAATGCCGATCGCCTTGAGAAGGGAGCCATACGTTAATAAGTGGGACACGCGTGATACGTCAAGGCAAAGTGCAAACTTTTTATAATCCAGCATTGAAGTGTACCATGAGTTCATACTCATACACCTCATAGTATTCATTGATGTGCGGATTAAAGTAAAAAAAAAAATTATCCCTTAAAGAGTGAAATGATGTACTCTAGCATATAAGCTTAGTCGAAAACATTTTTCGTCATTGGAATTACCGTCTTCATGATTAGTATTTATAATTGAATGAAATTTTACAGATTTATCGCGTTCATTTTTAATTTTAGTTCCCGATGTTTCGAACCCTTTTCTGCATTCATGGTCACGGGACAGACTGAGGCGTTGAGCGTGTGAACGGGACAATTATAGCCCGGGCTACCGTCAGTTTTTTTAACTACTAATTTTGTACCCGGTCTAAGCAGAAGTTGCTAATAGTATCTTGTCTTGCAGTTGTGGTTCGTTTGGGAGGATAGGCCTGGATTTCATTTTGTTCATAAGATCCCAAGCAGATTGTAGCACCCAACCCTCTTCTCCATTAAAATTAGGGTGTTCTTAAAATAGCTTCTCGAATCATGCTTGGAAGGAATCGGTGTTTCTTTACAAGGTTCTGTGTTCTATCAAACCTGATGTGGCGATTTAAAGTGTGATGTTTTGTGTGATGTTCATCAAACAAATCTACAGTCCGTTTAATATTTTGTCTGTGTAATCGCGTATATACAAGAAATTATTAGTATATGATAAGTCTGAAGCGGGTGCAGCTTTAGTTGTCATTATACTTTGATACGAGATGAATATTCATGTTAACGTTTGTAGCATACATGTGAAATAGCAAAGCAAAAATTACAAAGCCACTTGGGCTCAATCGTTACGTCATCATTGTGATCTCTGTTTATTGACTGCGGCAGTACTCCGGTTCAAATTAAATTCATTTGCGCGTTCTGTTTATTTTCTGAGAAGTGTATGTTTTTTTAATTATTTTATATGTGAGAAGGTAGCAAGCGCGGTTGCAGTTCACTCGATGTTAAGTGATTACCACCGCCCATGGACATTTGCAACACCCGTAGATTGAAGATGCGTTGCAACCTTTTAATAAAGTGGGCCAATCTTAATAAGTTCCACTAAGCAGGCAGCAGCTTCTCCTGCCGATGCAATGACTAGCTGGTACAACAGCGATACAGAAGTCCCACCTAAGGTTGAAGTAAGCTTTAGCAATTTATCTCGTGCGTAAGATAACGGGGTTCACCCGCGGAAAGTTTGGCATGGCAACGCACGGCGAGCTTAGATGTGCCGTACATTTTCATGAGCGATAGTAATAACTTAACTCATAAAAGAATAACGTCATGTAGAAAGCGTTCTGTATATCTGTTTTCCGTATTTAGAGTCAAAAGAAGCAAGAGGTCGAATGTTAAGGTTAAATGCACGTATTAAATGCGAAAGGAATAATGACATCGTGCACATTAAATTGTCAGTTAACTCATTACATTAATAAATTCTCAACTCATTACATTAATACACAGAAGACTTGTTATTGCAGATAAGAAAACGTAATCTCCGACACGAACCGACCGGAATATTTACAATAAACAGTCCCATTGACGGGAGTAGATAGCCCGAAGCGAGTCGTGCGTTATAAACGGAACTTTGTTGTGATTCACTGGAGATTTTGACACGATCGCGACGCACGGAACAACTTCGTGGATAAAACGTGCAATCTACGACTGTTTTTTGCGTTTCGCCAAAAATACGTAGAAGATCAACGTTCACGTTAACCTCGGTGACAATACGTTGTTATTCATCAGTTAAACCAATGACATTATATACAAATACGAGAAACCGAAACTGAGGCACTCAAATTACGCCAATTGGTGTAATTAGATTTCATTTCTTATAGACTGCAATCTCTTTCCGTATCATACGTTCTATGTATATCATCTGTCACATTCACTTATGTATGTTATATAACGTACAGCGGAACAACTTTATTTATTACTTAACTAACTAACATTATCGCCGCGCATTATGGACATACGTCATCTGTATTAAAACATCATTGAATAAAACTTTAAGTTTATGCTTTTGTCGGACTATTGGGAAAAAGTGATGCGTAAATTTTCAAGATCGGTGCGCACTGCGACATGAAATTAACACTATGAAGGCGAAGTTAAGTCAATAACGCCCGGTTTCTCAAACACTGATCATCGTAGAAATTAGCTAATCAGCTGTCAAATGGCTTTTCAAATGTCATTTAAATTGCCAAAAAGATGGTTAAACTCTTTGAATTGTTCATTTTGATCATTAAGAAGATCATTCTGACATCTGTAATATGGTTTTATTTAAAAATAATCCGATAAAGAAGAAATCTGTGGAAATGTTTTATAAAAATTAATTTATTGTAGCCACTTGCGTGAACACTGATGGAACATAAATCTCAAATGATATATGTCGGGAACGTTTCAGATGTCTGGTCAGCTGTTACTTCACTCAGAATCCTTCTTATCAAACTTCAGTCCCAATATTAAATTTTCAGTCTGCAAATTATATATTTCATAATAATATTATGAAAAATTAATTTGTGTTTACGTACACGTACGTACGTTTGGGAGCACACAATACAACGAATAAAAACGAACACTTGTTTTTTTTTTTTTTTTAATTTTATATTTTTTAAAAAAACAAGTGTAGGAAACACTTCAGACATGCCTAGCACAGATTAAAAAGGGAAAGACTGAGAGTATTCGTCGAAGATAGAATTAACTCCTATTTCTTTTTACTATACTTTATTTTTAATCAAACTTGATTTAACGGACGGTTATCAAAAGTAACATTATTTTTAATAAATACAGAGGGTAAAATTTTAGAACTTAAAATTTGAAATTTAAAACTTGAAATTTTCGAGAGAGTCCATCCACATCGGCCATTATACATGCGTGTGCGGTGCTGCTAGTCGTTTACAGACGAAAATATATTTACGGTTATAAAATTAAATAATTTCATCAGCAGAGAAAAACAATCGTGAAATATCACTATAAGTTAAAATATAATTATTGACAAAAATATAAGTAGGTACGAAAAAAACTAATAGAACAATATTTTTTTAATATATTTAAGGCCAAGTGATCTATGACTGTTTATCAAAACCTGCAATTCTTCAAAGGTTCAACAAATTAACCGTAATTTTAGCAATGATCACGGACATAACGAGTGTCTTCAATCAAACTAAATCTACATTGACCAATCAAACCATATAAAATCAACATCTTGTTTTTTTATTATACATTGCTTTTCTCATATCATCAAAGTATAGCTTAAGATTGAACAGAATATAATAAGTATCTTTTTATACCTATAATCAACATCAGTTATAATTTCGGGTTTTTGACATGGTCTATTTATAAGAGGTTATAAATAAGAGGCAATTCACAGTCTAATGTCAAATGGTACATGTTTTATTGAGAAAAAACCACCACTGAGTACGTACCGAGACCAAGTTATCGTAAATTATAACATCATCGCAATGAAGCCAACTTAGGAGCTTTTCCCCCCAAATTCAGAGGTTTTTAAGGGAAATATGTTTACGTTTTTTAGGCGTTTAGAGTGCTGTTTAAAAACTAAAAATATCATATTTCTTTAAATATTATTTTTTGTGAATGCAATAAATGCCTATTGAATACTGTTATTATGAGGCATGGACTTTGAATTATATTTACGGTTAATTATGGTCGGCGATATTTTGATTACAATAATTGTTGCTATTATTATTAACTTTTATCCTTTTTTATTATTTTCTAACTTTGCTATCTATGAAATATATTATTTTTATAAAATGGTTTTGAATAATTGTAATTTTTATAATAACCATAAATAAGTTCTGACGCTCCTTGTAATCATTTAAAATAAAAACAAAAGTAAAAAAATGTAAAAAAAATATATAAAAACCTACATTTGTCTAATTGTCAGTTAAGAGGTCTTAGGGGTTTCTGAGATAACTTTTAAGGGGGTTAAAACTAAGTCATGCTGCATTCATTCATACACAACTAGCGAATACGGTCTTATAGGGCAAATTGAATTTTGTCATCGAACATGGTCGACGTAAACTAAGCTCGCAAGCGAAGTCGTAAATTATTTTTGCAAATGAGTTAAGAGCGGATTATCTATTTAAATTCTAACCTACTTAAAAGTGTACCAATGAGGATCGTACCACAATTGTGTAGAACTGAGAACAATCTGCTATAAAACAATCAAGAATTCAATGTCCTTCGAAAACAATTTAGCATTAACATTCGGATTTCGAAACGGACCTGGGAACGAATAGGCCCACACGCAGCCGAACGAGACATTACAATGAAAGGAAGCGCGATTGTTGAACAAACAATGCGCAGAGTAACAGTAATAATTCGTCGAAACGGTCATGGGACTATCGATCCTAAGACGAGAGGTTTTGCAACCCCAATAGCTTGCGAAGCATCGTGGAACGGCCGATCGCCGGCGTCAGTACTTCAATTAACGTACATCGCGCATGTGCAACAGGCAGCCGGGACCTCTATTAAACTGGGAACAAACGCGCTAACAACAAATCTAATTTCACCTCCCACGGGAACTCTCCCCGGGTGTAATAAAAAAGGCAATACTTACAGCGATCCGTGGACGATTTTCTATTCGAACTAATTGTTTCACTGTTACACCGGTCCGCAGAAAGTTCGATATAACCTCAAAGACACGTGTATACCGAGGGGGCACTATTTAATTAAGCAAAAAAAAAAAAAACAGCATAGTTATAATAAATACAGTGTTAGTTTAATTTCGTTTCGACCGCTCGATTATCGGCGCGTGGCGTGCGCTCCCAACAGAATTCCGTATAACTATAGTTCGGTTCCATTCGCGCCGGTTGGGCCGGAGTGGACTGCACACTTGGTCGAACGTTACGGTACGTCATATCACGCTACGCGCTTACGCCGGTGTCGCGTCGATCGAGTTTACGGTAGCCTTTGCTGTACATCGCCGCTTTCGCTGACGTTCGATAGTTTTACCGCAATGGAGACTAGTCGATGAATTGGAAGTAAATTGTTAACGCCCGCATCGCCAGTCGATGAACAGCGTTAATGCACCCATATGTCACTTTCGAATACGTTTGAAAATAACTAAGATTAATACGGCTGTGAACAGTTTTATCCAGTGCGCTAATTTATAGGCCATCGAATTAATAAAGTTCGAGCTATCGCATCATAGGTATATACCATTGTTTTTATGTATGTGACATCTGTAATCAATCTACCTATTTCATGTCTGCCTTAATAACTTAAATAATTATGGCTTTCCATTCGAGTTTATTGAAAAAGGAGTCATATCAAGATTTTAGTATTCAGTTGTTGTTTACACATTCTTGGTAAACCTGTTGGTATCTGAAACAGTGGCTTTATATATTAAAGCAATTTTAACAACATGTAGTTCTATCAGGTTTGTACCATCACGACGCTTGATCATTACCAGTTTTACCGTTATTATAAAAGTTTCAGAAAATATTTGCAAAACTCTTACTCTATACGACCCAATGGTCATTGAATGTTTCCATAGCCAAAGTCATAAACCACCAGTGGGTTGAAATCTAAACCTATCAAATAATTTAGAACACGTTAGCTAGTTTTGACAGTACGGATAGCCAACACTAGTTGATTTCATGGTCGCAGACCCAAGCATAAGAGCTATGTTCACCCCAAGTTTCATTCAAATGCGTTGAAACATTGGGGTATAACGTGGGAACAAACAAGTAAGTACCACGACCTCACAGAAGTCCAGCGTAAAGTAGAAGTATGACAAATACTTTCGCGTTTCGTCTGGTGAGTGAGGTAGCCGGAGCCCAATTTTCAAAAGGTTGTCAACGCGTCTGTAACCCTCGGGTGTAGCAGATGTCCATGGGCGGCGGTATTCACTTAACATCAGGTGAACCGTCTGTTCGTTTGGCAACTATAGGTAAACAACTTGGCTGGTAAAAATCATCCATAGAGAAGCTCTAAATTAATATTAACTCCATGCAGATTTTAGATTCTGTCTTGTTCTGTCACCTGTCTCTTTCTCATCGTCCGCTTGTTAAAATATCTGGCTGACTGAACGTTTTTTACGACTTGTCAATATTCTTTATTTACTTCGTATTTATTTACTTATTTTTCAAAGAATACAAAAAGCTATAATAAAAATGCGATAAAATGCGATAAGTTTCCACCAAAACTAAATCCGTATAATAGACATCGCGGTAGAACTTGTTTTACTCAAATGACTTAATTACAATGAAACTAATCATTACAAAAGCTCTGAAGAACATTTGACCTTTAACTACATAAACTTAAATGAAATATACCTATCTGTATGATTAAAATTTTGACAAACACGGTTAAAAAAGTATTAGAAGCATATTTTGTTTTAGTAATTAGCACATGAAAAAGTTTCAAATTGATTCTCTAATTACAGTGTAACCGTATTATTGACTATCGACGAGTCGGTAATGAGTGCCACATTTACGCCGCTAGCGTTTCCGATATTCCGCATTCCTGACCCACTTCCTGTCGTATTGTCTCCAAGTTGCCGGTAATGCTATTCGCGCTCCGAACACTCTTGACCGCTCCAACTAGCGATTTCATAATACCCTTAATGTAGACAGAAACAAAATTAATGAAAACAAGTCTTGAATTGTGTACTCTCCATTTTAGCTGGATTATAATGAAATATTAAAACAGTATTATAACTTCGTGGCGGTCTGTGGGAGAGGCCTATGCAGTGTAATCAAACAGGCTGAAATGATGATGATGATAATAATAATAATAAAGTTTATTAAAGTCCAAATTAACAATATACATTTGAATATAAGAATTTGCAATTATCAAATCAATAGAAACATTTGGACTGCAGCACCGGACAAAACAAGTTGTAACTTGTGGTCCTCACACTACGCCTAGCCGGTATCATGAGAACCCACACTAAAATGTTTACATATTTGTGTTCTTTACGGCAGTGCGCGGTGAAAGCAAAAAAACAAAAAAAATTATTATTTTTATTTAAGTACAAGAAAGTATTTAGGAAATTCAGTATTTTAGGAAATAATAAATTACTTAAATAAAAAAAAACATCGTAAAAATTATCAACTAAAATAACAAAATTAAACAGATAGTTCAAAGCATGGTGCCTTACTTTGTGTGTGTTTGTGTGTGTGTGATGATTATTAAAACAATAGCAACGAGTCAGTAGTAGTTAGTTAGTTTTTTGTTCAACAGAAATATCAGTAAGATAAAAGTCATATTGGAGGCGATCTTCCAGTCCCATATGGAATACGGCTAAGGGCCTACGTATCGTAAAAGGTGACTTAATGAGTGCCCTTCGCCAGCGTCTTACGATTATCGACGATCGCAATAGGAACCTGGCCATCCACTTTAGCGGACATTGTAAGAGCAGCTCAAAGTCTTCTGCAAAGTAGCGAGGGAATTGGAGATCCTTTATCCTTCCCCGAAGCGTGCCCATGTGAAGTGCATAACAGCACCCAGTATAAGAGTAACATCAATGCGCCAAAAACTAGACTATACCTCATTTGAGAGATTTTTTTTACGTGAGAAAGTGGCAAACGAGCTGGCGGTTCACTCGATGTTAAACGATAACCGCCGCCCATTGACTTTTGCAACACCCGTATTGTTGCATGTCGCATGCAAATGCGTTGCCACCTCACTCACCAGACAAAACGCAGAAGTGGAACACTTCTGCTTCACGCCGGTCTTCTGTGAGGCCGTAGTACTTAACCGGACGGACCTGCCCATTCATGCAACAACCGAAGCTGTTGCATGGCCCAAACACGGAAACCCTAACCATCCCGACCTCTAGTTCTGCCGATTACACACAATAACGATAACATACGTCAATTACACAACTAGTTTATAAATGGGAAACGGGCAGCTGCCAATAATTTCGCGCTATTTATAGCAACGGCTGCAGCAAAATATTTATGTGTGGAGAATACTCTCCGTTATGCAATGTAGCCGGATATAACTCATTTTATGGAAAAGTTTAAATTAGGACCTATATCGATAGATCCGAATCAAGATTCATTAGATTTGTCTAACATTCATCTACCTATTAGCAATAAAAATCCCAGCCTATTGTCTATAAAAATTAGTGACATTGAGATGTGGTTACTACTCATTGCTTTCGCGCCCCATACTTAATTTAGCATGTTATTCAACCTCTTTACAAATCTTAGTACAAGCAGCAGAGAAATTGCCAAACACAATTGAAATGCTCATTTCATAGGTTGGTGTGGGCCGCATGGCGGAAAATTTTGGACAAAAAAGGGCAGTGGAAAATATTTGGCTACTAATTTACACTTAAACACAACTAAGTGCTATGAGTGAGTATAATGATTGTGCAATTATGTATGTGATGTGGCAACAGGATTTTATCAGTGTTCAATCACTGGTCTTTGAAGTAGCTGCTAAGCTACCAAATAGACTCATAAGCAACTCATTGAAATATCGATAGATAAGACTTACAACTGCAGTTTTCGTCAAGATTAAGGTTGAATTTAACCTTGCACAATTGTATTAGTACGGATGTTTGAAGAAGTAACGAAAACTTTAAAACCCTTTGCTACTTCTACTTTATCTGAAAAAGGTTTCTTGTTTATGGCGTCGCAAATTGTTTTTGCAAAGAGGCTCCACTAAATAAAAATTACGTCTAAGCAAATACCAAAGCCTAACTAAAAAATAACATTAAAAAACTGACTCGCATGGTATTATCAATATTCGCAACACTATATTGACTTGTATTACTATAACAAACGAAACTTTTCCTTTGAAAAAGTCACATTGGATTCGAACGGAATGGTGCTGCTAATTTTTTGACAGAGAATGCCGTTTGACAGAGAAACCTCATGACCTAATGCCATAATCTCTAAAAAAACCCTTCAGTTTCTAGGAAGGATTCAAGCAATAAATACTAAGAGTTCCGGAACCAAGAAAATGGGCAATTCGTATTCACGTCCAATATCCCATAGTAGCCTTACTGCATATAATAAACGAGCGATACGGACGCTGCAAAATGAAGGTTCACCATAAAGCTGTCAAACAACCATCAATATTGTCGATAGCTACACGCAGTTCTTATACGATTTCCACTGTTGTCATCTCGCTAAGATGAACTATTGCAACCATTTCGATACATTGTAACATTGTATTATGTTCGAGGTATAAGCGAGCCATTTGAAAGGTTCGATTTAAAATATCCCATAATAGGAACATATTTGTATTTAATCGTATTATTCATAAACATTTTAGGAGCAGTTTTTTTTATTAAACGTACATATACGTATTTTTATTTAAACAGAAAGGTATTCTTCGATATCGAAAGAAGAAGAAAATATTGGATTGAATAGATTTATAGATATAGGAAGGCCAAAAATTAATCCATAATCTCTGACGACCCCTGTGTGTGCATGGGCATGAGTGTGTTTCTGTCTCTATTGAGCGCTGGTGAGTGCGGTAGCCGGGGCCCACTTTATTTAAAGGTGGCAACGCATTCGCAACCCTACATATAACCACTAGTGGTACGTGTTAATAGTCGTAAATAATGTGGTCGTTATTAATAGTTGTTAATATTCAAGTTCAGTAATATTTAAAATATTAGGATCAAGGTAAAATCGTTAGAATCTTCTAATCTCTTATATCAGAAGTGGAATTTGTTTTTCTTTATTTTTTTTTTTTTAAAACATTGCCCTTACTTTAGGATAACATTATCCTGTGTTGTAAGGACGTTTTACAAACATAAATTTCACTTGGACAAACACCCAGATGCGAAACAACTATCTGTGGGTCACACAAATAGTTGTCCCGTGTGGGAATCGAACCCACGACCCCCGACGCCGAATCCAATACGTTAGCAACTGCGCCACGGAGTCATCAATTCAATACGAAAACTCGCGTTTGGCTCTTCAAGCAATCGTCAACATATTTTCTCCTTGTGTAC